GCTGTCTGTTTTTTTTTCTTCTAGTTTTTTTGGGAGGAGGGTGGAAAGGGGTTGTTATTATTTTTGTTATTTTTACATTCCCTTCTGAATTCCTAACTGGAGTTGGTTGCAGGCTCAGGACATAGGCTACATTGCTATATTGCTTCCGCCATCAACGCTGGATTTATCTGCATGTGTGTAGTCTTTTTGTTTTCGCAGAAGGAAGAAGTCTAAGGAAGAAACCCCGCGTCTGCTGTAATCTTTCTATAAAGTGTATCAAATGAGGAAGACAGTGTGCAATGGTAAAACAATACGAAATTTGTCAGACGAGGAAGATCAGGTAAAATAAACAAATGGGTCGGTTTTATTCGTGGATTGGGCGACGCTTCTGTCGCAAGTTCATGTTCACGTCCTTTGTTAAAGACTGAGTAAACAGTGACCGGTTAGCACCCTTGCGGTTTGTGTGTATGAGATGTGGGCGTGGCTTGTATGTCAAGACAGACCACACGCTTCCCTCACCAGCAGCTGAAAATTTATTTTTACACTGTGGTCAACTTGGGTAAAACCAGCATGATCAGACATTGGAGGGACTAACAATAACAACAGATGAACGGATTACGGCGGCTGGTCCACAGCGTCAGGGGCAAATACAGAATTGATGACAAAACATTGGGCGAAGAAAGATTCGCGTGGCCGTTCTTTGACAGTTTTTTTTTTCATTTCGTGGAAATAAAAGGGTGGTCACGGTCTCGTTGGACATGTGACAGTTTCACACAGAGAAACTACATTTAAGAATACGCTAAGGGTGGAGGGGCTGGGGTGGAAAGTGGTCGTTTGTACAGGTGGTCGTTTAATACAGGTGGCCGGCATGGCAGGTTCGACTGAACTTGGCATCGGAGTTTGTGGTCTAGTAGTCAGGTTTCCGGGTCGTGATCGTGAAGCTGCGGACACGGGCTAAAACACTAACATACTGACAGGATGTTTCGCTGTCTGTGATCCGGTACTCATTCACAGCTGTTTGAAGTGAGGAAAATTCAGGTGAATTGCCTTTCTCAAGGCCATAGCGTTAGTCATGACAGACACGGTCAAATCCTGTCTCCTAATAAACCCAATAAACCCAATCAACAATGGTACATGTATTAGTTGAGTCGATGGGGGTGTAAAGCACCTGTATTCAAAAGCATATTATGTTACCGTACCTATCTCAGTAAATGTTAACTATGCCTTAATTATTATACTGTGTATGTCAGTGACACAATACTGATGCGATACACATAATGTGTTACATTCCCACCCCAATAAACATGAAAAAATAACCCTGTCAATAAAACCTCATCTACCTCAGTAAGAGTTTTTCATAAGTGCCCCCAATCCCCTCCGTATTTTTATTTCTTACTGTGATACAGTACCCACCTGTATAAAAAAATGCCCTATAAATGAGACATACCCGCACAACTGAGCCATTATACGATTGCCTAAAATTTAATATCGCTGTGTTAATTAAACACGTGTGTCGTATCTACCCAAGGAAACATACTACAAAGCTGAGCAATAATATATACTTTTGCCAACAATTCAATACTGATGTGTCAAACATGTGTTGCTTCCTCAGTAAACGTGCTACACAGCTGAGCCATAATATGAGTTTGTCCATAATTCAACACCGCTGTGACATGGGTGTGTTACCGTGCTTACCCCATTAAACGTGCTCCGCGACTGAGCCATTATACACACGACATGTCCATAATTCAATACCCCTGTTCTACGAGTGTGTTACCGTACCTACCTCAGTAAACGTGCTCCACAACTGCGCCATGTCCGCATTACTGTACTTGTATCTGCTCACGTACAGGCGAAGGCCGTCCCGGAAGTTCTCGATGCCGGCAAAACCCATGAGCATGCGCAGAACAGCCATGCCCTAGAAAGGTAAGAGACAATGTAAAACTATAATGTTGTGTTATTATGCTGTCGTTGTTGTTGTTGTTATTGCAGTTGTGTTGTTCTTGGTGTTGTTCGTTGTTGCTGCTGCTGCGGCCACTATTGGTTCCTTCTCAGCCCAGGTTAACCCTAACGAGGCGGTCTGAATTTTGTCAATTGGGAAGGAGGTGGGGGCGGGGCATAAAGCCAACTACACGTACATTAAATTTTGTTTACAAATACAATCATACACATACAAACACGCACACACATACGTATATACACAAAGGTATGCATAAACACACACACACACACACACACACACACACACACACACACACACACACACA